GAATTCGGCGATTGTTTCCCTCCGTGAAAAATGTTAATTGAAACTCATCGAGTCAATAATAATGTCCAAAGGTAGCCATATATAAAACTAAATGTCGCCCAGTGACAGCAATTATTGGTGTCTTTATAATAATACAGTAATTAGATTAACAAAACTGATAGGTCATACCCATTCCATGAGTGCTGGCCTGTGGGAAAGAGGCGGAAAAAACTACCCCTGATTTTTTTGTTTTTTAAATGAATAAAGTAAATGATTTGAAGGAAACCCGCAAAAACACTTGGACAATGCGCGTGGCATATCGTCAATGAAGGCGTATTCTTTGAATTTTAATGTTGCGCGATTAATAACAACAAACCATTAATGCCTTCATTTAATTCAGTGTATTGTTTTGGCATTGTGAGTATGAGTTCTAATCTAATCTAATAAAATACAACAGGTTGAATACAGTGAATCATGTACTAGGTATTAATAGTTACAATAATGGGGTGTCCGTACAATATAATGATATGATGGTACGGTATGATTTCATGTCCGAATTGTTAATGTTCATCTGGTGGTGGTGGTGGTATCGGTATTTCGGCACGCTAGTTTGCTTTCTGTAAACATGGGTACTGGCGCTGTGGGCTGATGAACACCCTTCAACGACAGACAGTACACTGTTAGCCGCCTGTATTCGGCGCTAGCAACTGTCTTTGCACAGAGAAACAATTCCGCCATGTCCAGTTCATGGTTGGAGAGCACAGTTACTTGGGGCTGAAAATCAATAAATACTAATTTTCACACACAAAAAAAATCATCCGCTATACGTATATAAATAAACAAGTTGTGAAACACGGCACCTAGTATAATCGACACCTTGTCGGTTTCAAATTTCGATTTCTTACCTTAAAATGCGAAACAAAAATTTTAGAGGGGATAAGGTGTTACGTTAATAACCATTGTTCATAATCGCTAACTTGGTTTTATTCAAAACTGCACAAATCCCGCGTTTTCTGATGATATCCGACGATTTCATGAACGAAAATGGCCAGCAGCCAGAATCAAGGGGAATTCGCATCGAGTTATGGGTAAATCAAGGAAATACTCGCTGTTACGGCACGCCTGATTGGCTGAAAATTAGTATGCGTTTCATATCGAATGTGGAATTAAATCATATAAGCAAATGGTACAGCCAGAATTGTGTACATATATAAGGTACATTTAGGCATAGTTATTCAAAGTAAATGTATTTTATTGTCATTATTCAAATAAATCGTCAACATTTAAAAATTGTTTATAATCCTGGCTTATCTTACACTTTTGCCTACCGCCCTTGCTTCACGCTCGCGTGCACATTTTTCGTTTCCTTGGTTTCGGCCATAAAATATTTAGTGAAACTATAATATAGACGGGGTATGACACAGTGTGTTTCATTTTTGGACACACCGCGTACCAGACTTCTCGTTCGCGAACATTATGATGACGGTCAAGTCCTAAATAACCACCATCATTATTTTAGCGTAAAATAGTACGTAATTTTTATGTGATGGTTTTGAAATTTTTTATGAATACAGAAATAAACCAAATTTTTCATGAACATATTGAACAATTTTGCTTGATTTTGCTAAAGTAGGGTC